TATTTATATGTATATTTATATACATATTTTCGTGTTTTTACGCAATATTTACCGATTCTATTTAAACAGAGACATCTCTAATAGCCGCCTTCGTTTACTTCCATCAGCATTGTTTGCCGACAGTTTGTTGTACTGCATTCGTTGTCTTTCTCTCTTGTCGCCCGTTTATTGTAGAAATACGTCTAAAACCGTATTTAATATCTTAATTTTTTTACTTCTACAGCTTACTTATTGATTAAAAAAATAAATAATTTAGTGCAGATATCACCATACACAATGTACATATATGCAAATATATATATATATATATATATAAATTATATATATAATAAACTAGCAACTATATATTTACAATTTTTAAAATATTTTAAACAGCACGTGTTCACCCAACAGTTCATAAATGATAATGGCATGCGGCATATCTTCATATAAGTTAGAACTTATATTTATGATACATATATACGTTGTATATATGTGTTTATTTGTTGTTTATTATACACACGAGGGAAATTTATCAGGCCGTAAACGGCAGGGTCGGTGGACTAGACGATTGCGACGAACCATAAGGTAAAGTAGGTCTATGGAGATGCAGGAATGGAGCCAAAGCTGCATGGGTATATAATAGAGATGTGGCAGTAGGTGAATACGAAGCCGGAGTATGGGCGTATAAATGGGCGGCAGGCGGCAAGGGTGGAGGAGGGATAGTCGGAGTATTTATATCCATTCCTGGATTTTGTTTTTTCCACTTCGTTCGTCGATTTTGAAACCATATTTTTACCTAAAATAAAAGGAAAGATTTCTCATTATAAATAATTAACATATAATAAACATGGAAAATGTTTAAAGAACTTTTAAATTACTTAATAATGCATGAGAACTCATTTATACATCAGAGATACGTGTATTGGCATAAATACATGCTTTTTAAATGAAAAGTGAAAAAATTCTTTTCTGTCATCAGTTGTGTTGCAAATAAAAAAAAGCATGTCGGCAAACATGCGTGACAGAATACGGAACGAGCTTGAGAGAAGAAGGGTCGTATATATAAGCTTATAAGTTTAAAGCACGCTCAACTCAGCGGGTTACTTATTCTATTTATGAGCCATTGACATGCATAATGCGAGTGCTCTCGACCGCTTATACACAGTTGAAAGTTTTTTTTATATCTTTTTTGTATATTAAAAAGCTGAAGTGAGGGAATGTATGCGCACTAAATTAATACTTTTTTTAATAGAGCGTAATTTGTAAACTCTTACGCTCGGTTAAGATTATTTATACGTTAGCAATTGTCTACAACGAAAAGTAGAGATAGAAAACGACTGTGCAGAAAGCTAATCAGAAATATGACAGCAGAACAAAAGAGCAATCGATCGAGAATAATTTACCAAGGACATAGGTCAAAGACGGCAAAACGCGGGCAAAGTATCATTAGCGATTTCCTTCTCTAGTTTTGTCGCACACAATAAACTCTCTCTCTCTTTTACTATAAATTATATTAATTTAACTTTCGTTTAAATATTTCCCGCATTTACCCTTTCTCATGATTATTATATAAATATATATATATATATATATTGTAATACCTGTGTTTCTGTAAGATTTAAAGCCAAAGCTAGATTGAGTCGTTCCGAAACCGATAAATAACGAGTTGTTTTGAATTTATTTTCTAAGGCTACTAGTTGTTCGTAGGTAAAAGCTGTTCTAGCCCTCCGAGGTTTTCCACCGCAAGTCCCTCCGGACGATTTACTGGGACTTTCGTCCATATCACTCCTTTTTTCATCTTCATCGTCACAACCGTCTGTTTTTTTAAATTTAGCTTTTATCCTTCAAAATCAGGTTTAACATATGTTACATAAATATGGTCCATAAAATCTTATATAGATATAAAGCATACATGTGCATAGAGTTTTTTATATATGTATACGATAAGTGTGGTTATAAATACGCTTTGATACGGCTTGGCTGTGTACGTTGCACACGTGTTGAACAGCCTCGTCATATTAAATAACGTACCAGAATCCAACGCCGAAGGAGGCGAAGCGGACCTTCTCCATGGCCAAGTTTGCTCAGACTTTCCATTAAATTTTGCCGGGTCCAAAATATCGGTGACGCTGAAAGATGTCAGAGCTTTCGGTGCCGGAATCACGATCGGTACAGGAGGCGACGGGCTTAACTCTTCCGATTCGTCCATTCTATAGATCTCCTTCTCGTCCATAGCGCCAGATAAGCAAAAACTGACCGGGCGGAGTTTTTAGTTTAGCGATCACGCATGCGCAAGAATGATTGACAGGGCTCTGTGCGACTACGGGCGCAGCATTTCACACTCGACTGCTAATTGGTTCTCGACTGCAATTGATTGCAGTCGGCAAAAGCTTCTTGCCAAGCTAATAGACCGCACTTGTATCGAGGGGGTGTGTATAATATATATGGTATATATACATACACACACATATAGATATACATATATATATATATATATATTTTTTATATACATCTACAACTATGTATATATATATATATATATATATATATATATATATACTGTATATATTTCGAAACGTATTAGCATTTTATCATTCACAATTTCATCACTTATCTGTATAATAGAGTTTCATTGTCGAGTAGTCTTATAAATGAATGGTTTTGCCTATTTCAGAAGGCATGCTATGAATGTATTAAATCAGTCTTTCTTTCATGGTGATACAGGATACTATAAAACATATAGATATTTTTTATTCATTTAATATATATATATAATACGCAGAGTATATAAGTATATATAGAATATATGTTTTTAATTATCAGAAATGTCAATCATTTTTCTAAATATACAAAGAAGCCAGATCAAAGCGGTCGATAATTGAAGTTAAACAGCCGATGTTGACAGTAAAGGTGTCCGCACAAACAGCACGTTCAAGAGGCTCAATTAACACTTGTCTATAGAAGAAGAGAGACGATTGAAAAAAAACGAAACTGCGTCTTTATACTTAAGTGTATATTTAATTTGCATGAGCGCGAAGGGAAGACGAGGCAAATGAGGCCAAATTTATTTTACAGGATCGCGGCTCTCGTACGTCGACGGCTTCTAATTAACCTCTTGCAAATTGTTTCCAGCCTCCGTTACGTCATCAACGCGCTTTATATATAAATATAACGTGTAGCCTATAGAGACTACAAGGTCCGGACAATTCGGCAAAGCTCGCCTTCTATTCGTTTTGACAGCCTAATTAGCCCGGACGGTTGATTAGAACATATTTAAGATAAAGAGCGCCGTAAGGGATTTACGCCATCTAAATTACTGTGTGTTGACACGTAGCGCCGAGAGAGTGATTCCCCGATAGGCACACACGCTCGCCACTCTTTGGCACGTTCGCCAAAACATTAAATGATATTCGATAGAAGAAAGTAAACAACATTCCGTTTGCACACGCTCAACACCTTTATCCGCCCGTTCAAAACAACAACAAAACGCCAAATCGCTTAAAAACCGAGACAATCGGCGTAGTGTATTTTTCTTCTTCGCTGTATAATTGCCAAGCTTTTTACGCTCCGTATAAAAGCTTCTTTATTTAATTATGCACAGGTGATGCAATAAATTGTTTTCGCCAACTTCAAAAGCGCGAAGTATACTAAGAATGAAAAGAATATGGAAAATGTTAAATAGTTTAACTTGAGAGAGAACAAAATCAAGGTTTCTAAAGTCTAATTAGCGGGACCAATCCGAGGCCCCCGACTAAATTGTGTAAACAGAGTATTCGTAGAAAAAACACTGTATCTTACTGCACCTGTAATGCAAGCTACTTTTGATGTGCTTGCACATATGTAAATAATTGCGATAAAACATTGCTGATAGCAGATAATGGCTGACACTTTGCTTCTCGTATCAGACGGTCGTGCGTAAAAACTATTCATTTTTTCCTCGTTCTCAATCTGTTTTCGATTTTGTTCGAGATGTTTTCGCGCTCGCTTCTCGCTGCAATTTGTCTAAACACATCGTTATTTGCCACTTTCGAATGCCAACTAGTCAATCATCTCGCTCCCGATCTCTATCTCTAATTCTTTATACAGTACACTTTTGAAAGGATACTTATATATCTGTTTACTTTGCGGGTATTAAAATCCCTTCTGTAAATTAATTATCTTTTGCTATTACATTATTATGGATATTACTTTGTATTTACATTCTTATGCAGATGAAAGACGTAACAAATTATAAATTATTTTCCTCTCAAACAGAATCATTCACGCTTCGTTCTTGCCCTCAATCAGAGCTACTTGACCTCTCCCATAATGACGTAATACCAAACAAAGATGTTATCAAACAATATTGATGGTGATCATGCGATAGGTGGAGCCAGAACGTCCGATTTATTTTGATTGATTGAAGATGATGTCATTTCGATCGATTTGTGCCCGCGTATATTTGCAAATGTTCGCCACGTTAATACATTTTGCTTTCTCAAAGCGTTCTTGTCAACAAACCACCGTTTTTACGTAGGCAAATGAGACCCGGAGGACTCTAGAGGAATTAGTCGAAGAATTAGGCGCAAGCTGCACATAGAAATTACATATACTTCCGCCCTCCTATTCCTCTTTAAGAGGAATTTATACCATAAATAGTTAAATAGTTATATACAGCGTTAATTGATATTCTTGCTTTTCTTTTATGTTTAAAACTATTATAAAGCTCGAAGGCCTATTTGAAAACGAGATACTCGATGTAAAACATCGTCAGAAGTAAATAAATACCTCAACATCTTTCACCTATATATAAAATATACTGCAATAACTGCATCGTTTTGCAAACTCAGTAGGAAATCAGTGAAACGGCTTTTTATCAAATCAATGAATAAAACATAAAGATCCTATCAAACACAGCGCCATCTAAACAATTAACAATCATTAATATTTGTAAACAAACGGTAAGCAAATCATTAAGCTCTTAGGTAATCTTGTTAAGAAGCATTTTGTAGTACGTATGAAGTTGATTAACTTGCTAAATGAAAAGCAGCGGCAGCCTATTTTGTTTTACTCTTTATTTAAGTGGATATGGTTTTGTTTAGTTGTGCTGCCATCTAATGTATAAAACTTAAATTTTTTTCAGCAATTTACTTTCGGTTCGTAAACGGATTGAAAGTTATGGCATAAAGGCATATTCAATTTGTATTATATATTCAACGGGAATATGAAAATTATTAAATAAAGCGAATAAAAGTTAGAGGCGTAATGAAAAGTCTCTGAAACAGTTACTTAATTCCTTTATCCTGTTCCATTTGCAACACTCATAAAATGGTAATTTTTTTAATTGTTTCTTTTTCCTTGTAATCAAGTTCTCAAATTACTCATAATCCAGATTTAATACTATTCATATTATCCAAATGATATACAGCAGGTGGCGTTCCTTAAAAACCCTTCATGCCATCTAGTGGTTGAAGAAAAAAACGGCTAAAGCGAAAAACTAATGGACAGATTGGTAACTTTTAGATTTAGACATCACCCAACGGAATTGGGTGATATCTGTTTTTAATGCTTTTGTAAATTTTTGATCAAAGGCATAACTATTATTATTATTCTATTTGGAAGGAGTTGAACATCTGATACAGAAAAAAATGTGTACAACTTAACACTAATGCATTAATTTGATTTTTCCTTTTTCGGAAATTATTTCATTTTGCTATGCAAAAAAAAATAGTTACAAATTTAACGGGGAAAAAAATCCTATAAATGTTCAAATTACACTGTCATTAATTTACTCTAAAACTTTTTACTTACTTTCAATGTAATGGAATTTTTAGTAATTACTTAAACTTGTCGTTTATTAAAATTGAGAGTGAATGAATAAAGTATCAGATGATTTTCTATATGAAGACAGGTTGAATTATATTCGTAATTTTATTATCGACAATCGTCCATTAGAAAAGCATTAACGTATGTATTCTAATAAGAAAGAAATTGGATCGTAAATTCATCGCAAAAGATAATTTTTGAAGAATATAGAGTATACAAAACGATGTTTTCTATATGGCTGAAGAAAATTAGTTTGCTTATCAAATTCTGCTTTTATCTTAAGTCGATGTCTGTATTCCGTAAATGTGATTATTCTCAATCTTTTTCGAATTATTTTCGAGGAAGAAATGCGTTTGTTCATACGTTTATTTTTCGATTATATATCATTACAGTTATTCATTGAGCTTATTTGTAATATATTCTAGTAACCCTCTTTTTTATTAGATCCATGCGAATGTCAATTCCCGAAACCTCTCTAATTCATCATCTTGTTACATTATCAACGGCGAGATAGTAACATACCAAAATAAAATACTATTTTTCTTTTTTTGCTTAACTATCAATGACGTTTAATGTTTTTTGCTAACTGAAGTTATTTAACAATCTTCATATTATTGATATCGAACATTTTTGTAAGAGATACCAGGCTAAAATTAACCATTTTACCCCTCCGCCCCCGTCACTTTTCTATACACTTTATATAGTCAGACATTTCGCAATTTCTCACAGAATGAATGGTTTTACCAAAAGAAAATCATATTAAATTGATTTTAAAATAATTAGATAAGTCATTTGTGGTTCGGGGTAAAAATAAATATTTCTATTAGTAGTTTATTTTTGTTTTTCAGTTCTCAGGACAAAGAATGATTGATCTCTTTTTTATCCTAACGTTCTAATAACATGAAATGCAACATTATAGTGATTTATAATTATTTAAATTTCTCTTATTTATTGCGAAAGGTATCGATTGGTAGCAAAATTATTTTATTTCGCTTACTTTTGTTATTTGAATAGCTATTTTATCTACAAAATTTTACAAATTCCAAGAGAATGCAGTTAATAATATTATTATTCGTCTGCCTGAGATACACTTCAGCAGAATAGTTGAATTTTTTCACTACATTTCCATCTTTATATGATTATAGGCAAAAACGAAGATTTTAAGAAGATAACTATAAGCTCGAAGTATAAAATAACGAGAATGATAAAATTAATAGCGAAAATGATATCTTTTAAACACTGTAGATGGCAACACATGTAGGGCTTTTTTTCCGACTGAACATTTTAATTGACTAGAACATTCGTTGTAGAAAAATGAATTGTAAAGAAAAAGTGCTTAGAGAATTATGTTTAGTGAAGGAAATAATTCTTTGGAGTTAGCTAAAACAACTTTCTTGCAAATCATTATTTTTTCAAAAATGGAAGTAAAGGTCTTAGACTAACCACACTCTAGAATTCTCCTTGTTAAAAAGCTTAAGAGATAGTGGGGTTTAAAGGATTGACATCGAAGTGCACATCACCAGTTGTTAATTAGGCAGCTGAACGACCCAAAAAGTGAGTCACAAAAGAGTTTTAGAGACAGACTATTATGTATAATTTAATATAAAAGTTGGTTATTGATTCAACTTGATGGTGTATATAGTGGTGAT